TAATAATCTTGTAGTATATGTTCCCTTTATTTCATCTCTTTCACTTTTCCACTTCCAGTTTTATATGTAAACCTTGCTCTGCAGGTGATGTGAATAACATTCGGGTTGGATGTGGAACTAATATACAAGATAACTCTCTTGTGCATGTTGCAAAATCCAATCTAGCTGGGAAGGTCTTGCCAACTATCATCGGAGATAATGTTACAGTGGGTAAGTAATCAAGTATCATGCTATCAGTCCCTATAACCGACAAGTATTCAGCTTGAGCATGCTCATGAACGTATGTAAAACAACTGTCAAGCTATGCAGTGCTTCTTTGATTCTTGGTTCTTTCAGTACTAAAGATAAAGCTATGACCATGTAGTTGAGAAGTATCAAATGCTATTCTTAACACAAATTAGTCTTTCAGATAACACAATGATTTAATTTAAGTTAAACACATAGGACAAATGAATATAATTATTCAATCAAATGCTGTATTTTATAGTTGAGAGTTCAAAGTTCAAACATGATCTTACGAGCCACAAGTTCTATTCTGTACTTTGAAGATTTTGGGCTTTGATAGGTCACAGTGCTGTTTTGCACGGATGCACTGTTGAGGATGAGGCTTTCGTTGGTATGGGTGCAACCCTGCTTGATGGGGTGGTGGTGGAAAAGCATGGCATGGTTGCTGCTGGTTCTCTTGTGAGGCAGAACACAAGGATCCCATCTGGGGAGGTCAGCATCAAACTTTACTAGTATTTCTAGGTTCGACATGCGTATCTTTCTATAGTTAATGGTAATGAATATGGTTGCTTAATCATAAAATCCCCAAATGTGTATCTACTGTAAGCGTAACTGAATGGCATTAGTGGTCTTTGTAAGACCAGGGAAATGTCATTCGACAAATCAAATGACTAGTTTACCGGCTAACCAAATATACTTAATGAATCACACTGACATATCCTATTAACCATTTTTTGCTATATGATCCATCTTGAGTATGGGGTGTTTTGCTCTTCAGATAGATCTCTGGCAATTCATAAACATCATCTTTAGAACAAAAATTTTAAATTGTCTCGTCATTATGGATGCCTATTGACAACTTGAATTAATTATATGGTGCAAAAATTGACAGGTGTGGGCGGGAAATCCAGCAAAGTTCTTGAGGAAGTTAACTGAGGAAGAGATAGCTTTCATTTCCCAGTCAGCAATCAACTACACCAACCTGGCCCAAGTACATGCTGCTGAGAATGCGAAGTCTTTCGATGAGATTGAATTTGAGAAGGTTTTACGCAAGAAATTCGCTCATAAAGATGAAGAATATGATTCGATGCTTGGTGTGGTTCGTGAAGTTCCACCAGAACTCATTCTTCCTGATAATATTCTACAGAACAAGCCTCCCAAGCCATCTCAATGAGTTTTAGCTCTCAGAGATTGTGGGCTTTTGTTGTTGGACAAATGTTGTAGGATGTTATGAGATTGGGATGTTGAACTGAGTTTGACAGGTTCTTTTTGTTACCGCTATCTTCCCAATAATTTTTGGGTCGAGTTCTTGCCTAGGATCGGCCAATGTACTTCTTGTACTAGCATTATTTTCTGTTTCCATCTGCAAGTTTCAAATGTTTAGGTGGGGGGTGGGGGGGATATGATCATTTTTGAAAGGTTGCGAGTGTGCCATGATTTATGTGATGCATTCTCTTTGTTTTGAAGCCAAAGTATTTCTGGACTAAAAGACTAATAACTGCTTGGAGGGCTTTAGAGATCAAAGCCAAGAAAGCAGGGATTGTTTTGCGCTCTGCTTGTGTTCTTCTGAAATAACGGATCTTGTGAATTCATTGAATGCTGAGCATCAGTTAGCATGTCAACTATAAACATTACTTTGCAGAATAATTAGGGAGCAATATGCGACGACGACAATTATGAGTAGACTGAACTTGCACTAGAAAACTACAATTATGATATTTACAAATCACAAACAGACAAACAAACATTTCCCATGTTATGCACTACATGTATCAAACCTTCCTCGTAATAAGATCTATGTTTTCTCACACATACATACAAATTTAAGAAAACCTTTTCCAACCTTTTCGTCAATAAGATTATCTACTCCCACACAGTATGTATATCCTTTTGGGTTTTGATTACGAGAATGACACAATACGTATGTCATATATCATATCATACATATTTAAGAAAAACTTGTGAATTCCTGTCATATATCAGTATATCAGGTTCCAGAATGTGATCGGTCTCCTGGCCCAGCGAGAACAACCTGGAGTTAAAACACAACAGTTCAGAGTCAGAAACTAGAGCATTGATACCCATCAAAATATCCAGTTTGGATGATCGGACTCCTAAAGCTTAAGCCTCGTTAACCAAAAGGGATGCTCGAAACTTTGTGTTTTTGTTACAATCTCAGGAGAGAGCACATGCATTATTATTTAGGGTTAATTGCACATAGCCCGCTCTACATTATCATTGTTTTGAACTTACTACCCTTGTAGTTTCATTGTCGCAGATAGACCCCTAGGTGAAATTGTTTTTTGACTCTTTTACCTTGGGTGAAATTCTAGAAGATATTGCCCAGGGGTGAAATTAGCGAGTTCCAAACCCGTGAAGAAAAAAACAGTTAATCCAGAAGTCTATATATAACAATGAAACTACAGGGGTAGTAAGTTAAACACATCCATGCTACAACATCCATGCTACACGAGGTCTATGTGCAATTAGCCCTACTACTTATTATGCAAATCAATCATTTCTTTATATCTTCTGTAGCTTCCAAAGTCAAAGTAAGACATTTCAAGATTTTATGTGCATAGTTTTTTAGGGTGCGATGGCTGAACTGCAATTTATAATTTCATGGCAAAGCAATTGTGAATTCATCTAATTAATATATAGTCAAACTAAGACATTTCAAGATTTTATGTGCATAGTTTTTTTAGGGCGCTATAGCTGAACTGCGATTTATAATGTCATGGCAAAGCAGTTGTGAAATTCATCGAATTAGTATATAGTCCTAAACCAGCAGATACTGAAATTGTCTGATTATCATCTACTTAGTTTACATTCATGAAGTTAAATATCATAGGGACCATGGACTAAACATAAACAAGTGTAGAGCTAGAATTCCTTTGGTGGCCGTCGAGAAGTTCATTGCTTAGGTAATTTGACAACCTTGCTACCTAACAGCAGTAGTTGGGGTAAAATTCACAAAACTCCCAAAAAACTTTGGCCGTCTTGAAAAGTTTTGGAAATGTCGCTTAACCACCATAAATATGCACTTCTCTGAACACCCACCAACTTTTTGGTGTTATCTGCAAAAGTTTTGGGGTTAAGTGACATTTTCAAAAGTGTTGAGGGTTATCTGAAAATGGGTCAAACTCTTATGGGGTTTCGTGAAGTTTACCCACAGTTGATTTCATATGGCCACTGGTTTTACAATGGGGAAGTAAGATTTCTCTAGTATTGTGTGCAAGAAAGAATTGAGATTTTATATCGACACTTACATTACAATCGAAAGCATATCTTCGAGCAAGCATAATTGCAACATTCCTTTCTCTCGCTGATTCAAAGGCTATTGTGAAGGAAAGGCCTTTCTTAGCTTGCCAAAAAAGAGATTGAGCTGCGGCATTGCCACCACCTCTGACCCCACATAACTGAAGAATAGTCATATGAAGTTATAATTAGTTTTAAAAAATAATTTCTATTTGACACGGAAATAACCAATTTCTCATTTCATTCATTAAAGGTTTACTGGCACAAATGCTGTCTTCAGTAGAGTTGTGCTGAATCCAAAACTATAATATTCCTAACCCTAGTCTCTCGAACGTGACACACTAAAAGGTTCTTCACAATGTTGGCCCCTTAAATTTTAATATTTTGAAATTAGTCCCTAACTCAAACTATTAAAATTGGTATATCTTGGCTCTATTATATAAATAGGTGTATGCATTCTACCAGAATTACCTCATATCCAAATCAAATACTACATTGACATTTGCACATGGGCTCAAACAGAAAAGTCCTCAACAATTCGCTATGCCTAATGCCACGTAGAGCTGGAGTCTAAGGGTGCGTTTGGCAACTCCACAAAACTAGTTTTAATGAATACAACCTTGGCCCAAAAGTTAGTTTATAGTTTGGCCAAAGTTGAACTGAGTTTCTTTAGTTCAAATTCTAGCATTTAACTAGTTCTCTTTTGGACCAACCCCTACTTCAACCATTGCTCTCGTTAAAGGAAAACTAAATCTAGCCCCAGGGATAAGTCTAGTTGTTTGGCTAGGTGCACTGGGGGGAGGGGGAGCGGTTGCGGGCTCAAATGAGCAAACAAAGTCAAACATGTTATAAGTAAAATTATCTTCCATTTTGTTAAATGCAAACATATTGTCCTCCTTAAATCTAATGATACAAAGGCTCTAGTATAACTCAAAACTATCCCAACAAGTTAAAAAAACTCAATTTAAACGTGCTCTCAAATACACATCTTGATTCCCGACCTTCCCATTTAGAACAACAACGTGCTCATGTATATAATTTGAAACCACAAACAGAAAATAGTACAACGTGCTTAATAATCATTGCGTTGTTCATACAAATTCCCTGAGACAAATGTAAACCTTTTGCTATATTTATTTATTTTTAAATTATTTCAAAATAGTATTCTTTTTCAATATTTGTCCCTTAAATCTTTAATGCTGGTAGTTGTTTCTAAAATTTTCTATTAAATCATTATGATTGCTATTGGACGCTCAATTCTTATAGGTTTCTTCTTCAAATCAATCCCTCCAATCAAGAATAGTAACACAAGAAATTGAGGAGTGCATATCCTATCAGAACTACCAGCATTTGAGTGAGCTCTTCAGACCCTTCGATGCAAAAAATAGGGGGCAAAATTGGAAGTTC